GGGTGGCTTTATAGTACGCTACGCACCCGCTGACGCGCGCAGCGAGATCTCACGTCGTTACACCGTATCGATGGTCTGAACTGGTCACGGCAGTCACTCAGGCCGTTTCTGCGTCGGACGTCATCAGTCACGTGTCTTTTGGGCAACGATACAAACCTCGAGGCAGTGGTTCGCGGAAGAGCTCTCTCCCAGCTCGAATCAGGTATCGAGGCCTCGGTGTCAGATGGCCATCACTAGCTCATAGTCTGAAAGTACTGAAATGTGTCACATCATTGTGTGTAACTAAGGCTCAGTGTGCAGTTCAGTTCATCTCAGTCACCTTGGGTAGTTATTACATACAACCACTAGGTGGCACCATTGTCAGTTTTAACACAATTTACAGTTTACATTTCATATACTATTACTATGTTGTACTATAACTTTGTTTCTTTCACACACAGTATGTGGTTGTGTGTCTGGTAAATTCTTTCCAGTGTTTCTATCTCACAGTTTTGGCATCAAACTGAATGTTCTCTTATGTTTTTACCCTCATGCTGCTGCAGATAATGAAACAGACACATAGACGTTCTCCCTCCACCCTCCTCTTTTTGTCTGACACAGATGAGGTGGAACAGTGACATTTTGTCTTGTTATATGTTGTCAATGTTTTTTCTACCATTTTGTCTCTTACCTAAAATTATGGATGCACATCGAGTCGTGTGTGTCTGTATTTCACTATATAAAATACAAGGTCTCATTTGGCTTTAGTGAATCACAACATCCACAGATTATGACTCAGATCAAACTCTATAAAATAAGAAGAGACACAAAAAACAAGGTGTCAGTGTGATGACAACTAATTTGTGTCTATTTTGGTTTTTATTCCAACACCTGCTGCTGTGGTACAGTCAAGAGAAAACACAGGGGCGTCACAGATTCCTTTTCTTTCCATCTACCTGTCAGTCCATCCATTTATCCGTCAGCTGTTTGTTATATGTCTGCTGAACAAACAAATCCTGAGACCTGGCTTCTGTTTTAGATGACGGTCTGATGTACGCTGAGGTCAGTTGCTCCCACCTTAATATAAACATGTAAATCCATCCAAATGTCTTCTATCAATACATTTGGGGTTTGGAGTCACTTTTACTCTTTTGTGTGATTTCATAAATATGTGGCACCAAAGAGGCACAACTTCAACTAAACATCATGAATAATGTGAAATATGTTGTTTCCACTGTGATATGTAAATATGTTTGATGGCAAATCCAATATAATAAATATTTTTGATTGTTTTTCTACCAGAATCTGGAGCCAAGGCCACTCTGACAGCAGACAGTACAGTCATACCAGCAGGGGGCAGTGTGACACTGACCTGCTCTGTGGACGAGACTAGTGTCAAACTATATGACTGGTTCAGAAAAACCTCAACCACTGAAAAACAAACCTTAAATACAACTGTTAACACACTGTCTCAGAGGGAGGCATTTACTACTGCAGAGGACAGAGAACAGGGACAGATTCTGTCACAGCTGAAAGTGATTCAGTCTCCATTAATCAAACTGGTGAATTCAATTCAATTCAGTTTTATTTATACATCACCAAACATCACCAAATCACAACATAATTTTTATTTTATTTTATTTTTTTTTTGCCCATGGCTGCTGAGTTGTGTTTTTGTTTCATTTAAGCTAAATACAGGAATCACATTGTCACTGGGGGACAATAAGGATGTTTACCGTTGATTTTCTGTCTCGACTGGTTTCCTAACTGGGTATTTTTATGTGACCAGTTCCAGATAAGGCCACTGTGACCCTGCAGCCCAACTGGTCTCTGATATACAGTAGTGAAACCATCACAGTTAGATGTCAGATCCAGGGACGTGGAGACACTGAGTGGGAGTATGAGTGGGAACCAACCAGCTCTAACAAACATCCAAGTCAAAATGAAATCAGGATCAGTTATGCTTCTTCATCCCACAGTGGAAACTACAGGTGTCGGGGCAGAAAGGACTATTTGTTAAGAGTTGAGTGACGGCATCAGACTGACTGTATCATGTGAGTTGGACGTCTTTCATTCATATGAAAATGTTCTGTCTTACAGTGATTTCATCCAATAGAGGAAACAAAACACTTCCAACAACACTGTGACTCTCTTCAGGCCAATCAGTGAACATGGTTTAGAAAACTGTTTGAAGCTACTTTTGTAATTTAATCATCTTTATTTGGCAAAGTATGTTACACACAAGGAATTTGTTTCCAGTACAGAACCGATGCAGCCATCTGCGGCGCCAACTCAAGCAATGGCTCTAACCATCAGGGGCAACTTGGGGTGTTTAGTGTCTTTCCCAAGAACACTTTGACATGTGGACTGCTGGCACGGAGATTCAAAACTCCAACGCTTTGGGTGGGAGACGACCACTCTACCCACTAATCCACAGTCACCCCCACTGCCCCCAATTTGTTTTTGATGTTAGCAGCAAAATGAATTTGTGAATGTTAACAGACTAAATGTTGGACAAAGGTGTAGATGTAATCTGGGTGAAATCAGTTTCCCAGAATCCACCTGTGATAACTGTCAGTGTTACAGATCTGCTCAGAGTTTGTGACCAGTGTTTCATGTAACAAGGTAAAGAAGTAAAACCAAGCAAAGTAAAAAAAACAAGCCATGGTCATACTGAAAACCTACTGTGTAGTGTTGTCCTAAAGTTGGAGCATGTTGAGTGTGTTTGTGAGACACGCACACACACACACACACACACACACACAATGAAACTGATGAATTATAGTTCAGGTAACATATATGAAATAAAAAAATGTGTCCTATAATTCAAAGAACATATTTAAATATATATATACTACCCTGCTGAATACCAGTGCTTTGTCACCACAAGGACTCAAACTATACAAAACACAGTGTATTTAACTGTATCAGGTAAGTCATCAGAGTTTTATCACCATGGTCATGTGGTGTGTTTAAATAATCAGTGTTTTTATATGCAGTATAAATGTAATTATATTACAATCTTACTTTGTAAACATTAATTCAAATATCCTGACATATTCATTTATTTGTGTGTGTATGAGTGTATATATATGTTATATAAATATAAAACAATGGAGCAACAAGGCTGTTGAGAAAGTTAAGAGATGGTCTTAGGAGGCTGCAGATTGTAAAGTCCCTTGATGCATTTTCAAATTTGTGATTTGTGATATTGGGCTATACAAATAAAATCTGACTTGACCTTACATGGGAGACCTGCTCTGAACAAAGAGAAGTGTATTTATGTAGTAAACTTTTCATTAATACTTTTTTTTATATATACGCATATCTTAGGTTAAATAGAAAATGACCATTACTATAATGTCCGTGTGAGGTTGAGGCTCCTCAAGAGCTGAATGTTTGATTCCCTCAACCAAGCACGAAGTAAAAGAGACAAACCACGTTTATATTGAAAACCTACGGTGTGGTGTCCTAAAGTTGGAGCATGTTTTTGATGTGGTGTGCACACATACACATCCAATGCTAATGGAACTGTTAAAATATAGTTCAGATAACATATGAAATAAAATGCATCCTATATTGTAAATATATTTAAATTTATTTATTTGGTTCTGTAATAGCAGACAGACCCAAGACCACTCTGACACCGGGCACAACCACCATACCAGTAGGAGGCAGTGTGACACTGACCTGCTCTGTGGACGAGTCTGAGGGCTGGAAATACATCTACTGTGTGTATGCATGTGTTTACAGGTAATGGGAGCTTTAAGGGTGAATCTAGACTTGTCGTTAGAGGGCGCCAAAAACAGTATACTTTATATCACTTTGTGACACTACCAGAAATAAAATGTCTAGAATAATGTTTTTATCATTGAAAACATTTAATGCTAAACCATGATGATAGTACACCGATAAAAAATAAACTTGTTTTAAACTACATGTTGGCATATGGGTGTTTTCTAGTGACAACAAGCTGAATTCGACATTATCTGCCGCAGTGGCTAGTTGTGTATAAAGGTTTATAGGCTTCAAGCTTTCCTTTCCATAACAAACTGAACTGGTACTGCTGATGCTGTTCTGTGAAAACATCGGGGATTAAATTACTGTCAAGGTTTTTCCAATGAAGAATAGCATTTCCGGTTACAAAAAATAAAACTACTATTGATTCAGCCCTGAGTTCTACACATGTACACCTTCCTGAGGAGGAAGTACATCATACAGTTAGAATGTACATATGGTGTTGAGTTTTTTTTTAATTCTATATATTTAGATTTGTGCACTTTTCAGCCAAAATAAATCAATACATCAAAAAGGTTCTTCACCAGATTTTTATTTGTGGCATGGACAGTGCCATGAAACAGTTTCAGATTAATGAATAGGAATAAGAAATCATTTATAACAAGAAATAGCTTAAAATTTACAAAAAAAAATCAAGTAAATGGGTAACAGAGTCTGACTTGTCCAAGAAAATTATACAGTAAAAGAGATGTTTGTCATGTGAGGACTTTTTCATATCTGTATTTGGTGTTACAGACCCTTTACTGCCATTTTCAAATCAACCCCTTTCTTTCATTCAACTATGTTCATTTAAATTGAAGAATATATTTTCTTGTACAGTCTAAAAGCCTTCTGTTTATTGAAACTGATACACAATAGGCCTACAACCGATAAATGTATTGTGATATAAATATGCAATGCCACAATAGCTATGAAATTTTATAAGTAATTAAATTATAAAATGACTTACTAAAAACACCCACTAAACATGTTACTTTAGGCATATATGTCAACTTAAAAATGAATAAGAAAGAAAGAAAGTGAATTTCTTTCATCAATTTTATATCATTTATTTGAGACTACAATGGGTTATCATTGTGTCTTGTGAATATAATACATTTTCCTATTCCATTTTGGCTAAACTGTGATAAACCGGTGACCTGTCCAGGGTGTACCCTGACTCGTGGCCCTCTTTAGGATAAACGGTATAGCTAATGGCACGCTTTTATTTTGTAAGACTTCCGGTAATCGTGCTTCCTGTCACTAGCTTTGCGCTACTTCAGGTTACGGCTGTTCCTGGCCCTCTGCTCCGTCGTTGAGCTGCACTCAACTAGACGGTTCCTCTTCTGGTCGCCTTTACAGCTGTCTTCCCTTTCGGCTTCCCTGAGAAGCACCGAAGAAATGATTGTAGTGAGTCGATAATTTGACCATTGTATTTTTTAAGCACTTGTAACAACTTGAAAGTGAGCGGAACTGTTGGGTCGTCACCATGAGAAGTAGGAGCAACTCGGGCGTTAAACTGGACAACTATGCCCGGATAGTGCACCAAACTATCCTGAAACACCAAGTAAGTCTTTAATGGTATTTTGTCCTATCTGTTTATTGAGAGTAACCGTTAAATAAAGTTGGTCTGTCAACGAAAACAGTGGCTGCTTCATAACTGCAGACAGGTTGTGTTAGCTGGTCCTCTGAGAGCCAGAGTGAATACAAATGTGTTCATGCATGAAGTACGTTGAATTCAGATTTCGCAAGGCAACAGTGCTCTTTCAGACACGCAACGTGTTCATGTTTCACACGCTCCTTGCTTCTGTGTGCCTTCACCGAATGTAAAGAAGCTATAAAGTTATGTTAGCGGCTTATAAAATCATTTTTGCACTGTGTATAGTTTTGCAGACCCTCACTGACATACACTGTAGTTCAAAGTAAATTGACATATTGTCATCATATGTGTATAAATCTCATTTGGTAAAAAAAAAAAAAAAAAAAATCTGCTGTTATAAAGGGAGGCTTCCTGGAAGGTTTTAGAACCTAGCAAGGATTTGCCCCCACAGGTGCATCAGTAAGGTTAACCACTGATACGGGTTGATAAAGCATGGCTCACAGTCCTAAAGGAGATGGAGGATGCTGAGGTCATGACCCTGTGCAAGCTAGTGAAGTACTTCCACAATAAACTGGGCAGTGGTGAAAGAAGTACTGCTTGAATAAGTAAAAGTAGCAATACCACAGTGTAAAAATACTCTGTTACAGATAAAAGTCCTGCATTTAAAATGTTACTTAAGTAAAAGTATTAGCATCAAAATATACTTAAAGTACAAAAAGTAAAAGTACTCATTATGCAGAAGGGCACCGTTAACATTAATGCATGGTGTATAATTGGACTATAATTATTGATGCATTATTGTGTACATCACATTACAATTTGAATTACAACTGGGTGGCTTGTGAATTTTCCAATAGGGATGAATCAAGTCTTAGGACTGTACTGTATTGTCTGTATCTCATTCTGAAAAGTAAATATTAACCAAGGTTATCAAATAATTGTAGTGAGTAAAAAGTGCAATATTTTCCTCTTAAATGAAGTGAAAACAAAGTATGAAGTAGCAAAAAATAAAAATAGTGAAGTAAAGTACAGATAACACAAAACTATACTGAAGTACAGCGCTTGAGTAAATGTACTTAGATACTTTCCACCGCCCACTACTGGTAGGGGTGGGACAATATATTGAAATTCAGTATATCATAATACATTAACATCACAATATGTATCATTTTGTCTAGAGAGTTATATCGCGTGGCCTCCATACACCAGTGGCTTCATATTTTTTGTAAATAATATAGCCTTACAGCCTATTTACTGTATCTGGTTGTTCTTACATAATCAAACCAGTGCTAGAAAGGGGGGAAAAGAGGAATAAAGTACAAATATTACACAGCTAGTCTTACATTGAATTTTTAATTGTATTGACTTGTACATACCATATCGTGCATTGAATTGTTAGTGCGATAAAGTCATGTCATCCCATCCCTAATTACCGGATATAGACTGCAACATTATTGCGTGATCTGTAAGATGTGCACCGATACATATCTGTAGTTATTTTTAGATAAATATATAGTCAATCCACCTGCCCAGGAATACACTGTATACCTCCATATACAGTATGTACCATTACACCTCTGGAAGGTAAGAAGGCATGGGGTAATGGGGGCAGGACTGTGACTTCCTGGAAAGTCTACTTTAGACCTAGTGTGTTGTTGTACTGTGAGTGGAGACATAAATCAATACACAAACTCCACCTACAAAGGATTAACATCAGGTTTTGAACCGCTGTTCTTTAAAGATTTTTTTTTTTTTTTTTTTTTTGTTAGATTGTTATAAATGTGATGAGAGGTATGTGGGAAAACTGAAACATACTGGGTTAGAAACCACTTGATCAGTGCTTGTGTTAAGATTACTGTATTTGATTGAGACTTAGAATATCTAGCAGTCATATGAAGAATGGTTACGATGAACACCCCTTGAGTGGTCTGCTGTTATATTAGAAGAATGATGGACGGTGACCTTATTGTTGTAGGGATCTATACAGGAAAGCTACTGTTAAGAGTTTTATGGTTTGGTGTGACAAGATTTGTAACAAATACCTGTATGTGTCTTTCTCATATATGTCCTCCTGAGGATGGATCCTTTGTTCTGTTTCAGTATAAGAGCAAGAGGTTTAACAGACACTAGTCAGAACACAGGGACACCTTGTCTTCTCCATGCCAGCATGTATTAAATAAAGTTGGTTCATCATGCTTTATTAATTCTTCTGAGACTTAGCGATTATCAAATATGAGAGAAGACTTTCTAGTACAGGTAGAGAATGCAAAGGTGTGGCTAGGATTAGCCAGTCCATCTAGTCCGTAGTAGTATCTAGCTCACTGCTCAAATGGATCAGATCTGTTCACTGGGAGCAGAGGCTTTCTGCAGCTGAAAGCCAAGAGTCATCAATAATACACTTGATTAAAAATAAATTTGTCCTTTGTTGATGATTTAGCACTAAGAGGTCAATGTACCTCTTGACCAGAGCCAGTCTGTTCCATTAGTGTATTAGCTCAACACAAGCTACCCTGAACACATAGTTCACTCTAGTGTATACTCACCTTTCCATAAAGAAGCAAAGGCTACATACATTAGGTTTAAGTCTCTCACTCATGTATTTGTGTATTAGCCCAAAACTAGTTTGTGCGCCATTTGTTCAGTCAGTGATGAAACCCTACTTACGCTGGTGTCCCAGTTAGCTGTAATGAAATGACCTCAAGATTAATTTCTATTCCTGTTAATCCTCAGCTGTGTATAGTTTCAGGTCTCAGTTTCAACTGGGCCTGTGATCAGACAAAAAGCAGCATCCTCCTCACAACAGGAAGCAACGAGGCTTGTGGGAAATGTAGTTTTGGCACGTGTTGCACATTTAAACAAACACTGTGTAGTCCAGCTACCTGGATGACATGGATTGTCCTGTGAAATGAGAAGATACATGCCAGCTGTTACTGTAACAAACTTTATTCCTCATTTTAAATTTTAATACATTTTCAAAGACAAAATAACTTTTTTAATGTTTGAAATGAGCTGATAGAGCTCCATTGATTTGTAACACAAATGATGTTCCCATGCAACCAAACATGATTCATCATGTAAGACAAGTCGGTCAGCAACAGTTTTAGTGTCTGTTCATTAGCATTAAGAAGTCACTAGTTTCTTTACAAACATTCACTGCTGCCTACTTCTCCTGTGAATATTTGCTAGTTTTCTTGTGAAGGGGATGTTGTGTTTTTTTCTCATGTTTTATAGACTAAAGAAATATTGACAAAATAACTGACAGATTAACATTAATAAAACAATTTTTAGTTGTAGCAGTTTTTATTTTAACCAGTTTTAAAAGATTAAAAATAATTTCTAAACTATTTTATTGAAATTAAAATCAGTAGTTTACTGAGCTTCACAGCCACCCAAAGCTAATATGCACACCCTGAAGCAGTTTCTCTATATTACCGTGTCCAGTATATCTTTGTAATTTGTGTTAACTGCTGACCTGTGCCGTTTGACCTCTGTACGACTTGACAGGATCCAGTAACGGGTCTTCTGCCAGGCAGCCCAGATCAGCCAGACGCCTGGATCAGGGACAATGTTTACAGCATTGTGTCAGTGTGGGCCCTCAGTCTTGCCTACCGGAAAAACGCTGACAGGGATGAAGACAAGGCCAAGGCCTACGAACTGGAGCAGGTAGGCGTGTCTGTGTTTGGGCTACCAAAAAGAAGATCATGGGATGAATATTTGTATTCCCTGCAGTATCATATTGCTTCCTTTCTTACAAATCCTGAAGCTGAAATGAACACACACCATGTTCACGTGCAGAGTGTGCAACTGCTTTTCTTTCTAGTGACGACTGCACGCCGGGACTGCTGTGTTATAAATGTTGACATTGAATCATTCTCTCTTTCTGTCTGTCTAGAGTGTAGTAAAGCTAATGAGAGGTGTCCTGCAGTGCATAATGAGGCAGGTATGTCACATTGTTCTCCCACAGACACACTTTCTCTTTAACAAACAATGGGCTACTAAGTTATTGAGCAATTGAAAGCAACATTAGTGTTAATTTGGAAACATGTTTGTTGCTGCTTGATGAATATAAGTCCAATATTAATTCATTTTAGAGATATTGTTTATTAATTCCCACAGATAAATTGAGGCGACCATAAATTAATAGAACCAGCACCATATGTCAGGATTAATATACAGCCAAGTCTAAGTTATATACAGTACAGTTCAATTTTAGCTTTTTAGTCTCTACCAACTCCTTAGGAAAATATGTGGATGATTCATTGCTAAATGCTCCACATGTTCACCGTTTAGCAGCTAGTTTTGTCTGGTTTTAAGCATGTGTTCTAGAATGGGTTTATTAGCTGAAAAAGGCACTGACAAAGAAGTGAAATTGGACCAAAACCACAGAATTTCTTGGCAGTAAAACCAAAACTATGAGTTGAAAGATGCTAAATGCTTCATAGAACTGAGGGGAAGTGCAGAGTTGTCATTTTCACAGTATCTAGGAATCCATTAGGCCTTTGACAATACTCTGTCATTTTATTCATTTAAAAACAAATTATTATTGCAGAATGCTGAAGCATCGTCCCTGTTGCACATTATACATGTGCATTATGGTAATATTTGTCAATATACTATTAAGAAACGTGTATGTACAGCAGCCACATGGGGTGGTTTGTTTTTCAGTACCTAAAGGTATGTGATCAAATCAATGCACAAAAATCCTGTAAAACCATTACTGACACAAAGCCATCCAGCATTTCCTGCTAAGCACAGTACAGTCAGCGATATTAAACAGATGGATATCTTATTGTGAGCAATGCAGAAAACTCTGACCATTGACATCTCATGATATACAGTATATTGTCCTACTTTCCAAACACTAGTGTATCTCACAGCTGTCATCATGTTCCATCTTTCACCTGCTTTACTTGATTCCTTGTAATTTTTTGTGGGATTTATTGTTTCCTTTTGATTTGTGATTGATTGATTGATTGATTGATTAGGCCTTGTTAGATTCATGCTGTGTGTGTTTTCTATCGCCCCTTTGCACCCCAGCTGGATAAGGTGGAGAAGTTTAAATATAGCAGAAGTACTTCAGACGCGCTTCATGCCAAGTACAACACCAGGACCTGTGCTACTGTTGTTGGAGACGACCAGTGGGGTCATCTACAGGTTGATGCCACCTCACTCTTCCTGCTGTTCCTCGCTCAGATGACTGCTTCTGGTAAACATGCAGCGGAGTCATTTTTGCATGTTAAATAACAAATTGTTGCCTTTAGGGGAAAATAGACTTTACACCTGGTTTTAATGTACAGTCTGTATCTGGATTTGTACTGTTCCGTTTGCACCAGTGGATGTCAGGCAAGTTTACATGAACGCGCAACTGCCTGGAGATTATGAGCATTCAAGGGAATCCTTAAACTATCACGTAATATTTTATTTAGTCAGAAAAATCGTCTCACAGGCGAGTGTTGGCGAGATGTGTTGCTTCTGCATAGAAGTACAACAACATACATTCACCTAATTTTTTTTGTGCTTAAGGTCGCGTCTAAGATGATAATTCACCTTTGTAGCATTGTAGATAAGTAAAAAAACAAGGAAAAGCATCCCATGGGCTCCTTAATGTCATTATTGTTCTGTGCTTTGATAAATGAACGTTCCTGCATGTGTGTTCCAGGACTTCATATTATCTACACCCAGGATGAAGTGGACATAGTTCAGAATCTCATGTTCTACATTGAGGCAACTTACAAAGTGGCAGTAAGTGCTCATTCAGCCACCCTCAGTCTTATTTTTCAGCTGCAATAGACTGAGGAAAAGTGGCGAGCATGACAGTGGTCAGTGTTTCAGTTAGAATGTAATCATTTATGAAGCTTTATTGTGAAAGTGTGGAAGTGTTGGTGTTACGTTAATACTGTTTTCTTCTTTTCTGGTTCCCACAGGATTATGGGATGTGGGAAAGAGGAGACAAAACCAACCAGGGCATAACTGAGATTAACGCCAGCTCTATAGGCATGGCCAAGGTTGATGCACACACAAAAGTAGTGTAAAAAATTGATATACACATATAATATATTAGCAGCCTCAGGAGAACAGTGGGAAACAGGTATGAGGAGGAGAAACAGCCCGAGTGCTGAATGAGAGCAGAGCTTCCCATCACTGAGGCAGAACAGGTGCTGCAGTGAAAATCTCTGGCATGGTGGAAGGTGTCTAGTCACGCTGACGGCATTTACATTGACCTTTAGACAACCCAGGCTCTCCAAACTGACTCAGGATCAGATGAGAGGACTTTTAAGCTAAATGTGTACACAGAGGCAGTGATACTTCCTGATTTTAGGTTGAATGTAATCCTGCAGTCTGATAAAATTCCTTAATTGAAAAACCAGGATTGACAGCTGGTTTTTTTGTTTGTTTGTTTGTTTGTTTTTTTAAGCTTTTAACATGTTTTTGATGTCACTGAATGGTTTTTCTCTCAGTCAGTAAAAATCTCCACAGTTCAATTGGGAACTGTTATAGTTAGAAAGTTTTTACATAATAAGGTACTTGCTGTGCCTGACCCAGCTCTGTCCTTGGCCAGCAACATACAGGAGGTATCAGGTTATCTGTAGTCTTCTGGGAAGGGCTTCTCACTCAGAAATAACACAGTATTCACATTACCCCGTGAACACCCGCACACAGGTTAATTTAAGACTTTGGAAATGGATACAACTGCATGATCTCCCGTGCTCCATTAATTACATATAGCTATTAGTGTTTATTAAAGCAAAACTGTTGTGATTTATAACATCTTGTTCAGTGCTACACTAGGCCACATGGTAAAGTATTTATACTGTTGTACCATTGTGCTGCTTTTAGTGAAACTCACATGACTGCTGTGCATCCTCCAGGCATCTCTGGAGGCATTGGATGAACTCAACCTGTTTGGAGCAAAAGGAGGGCCTGGATCTGTGGTCCATGCTTTGGCTGATGACATACAGCACTGCCAGGTACACAAGCTATGAACACACCATTACATAACATGCTGAGAAGCAACATCAGCGTCCTATGATTCTAATGTATCCTTTCCTTTCTTTCCCTCCTGCCCGTCTTTCTTTCTCCTCCATCAGTCCATCCTGACCTCCATGTTACCCAGAGCATCCATGTCTAAAGAGGTGGATGCCGGAGTCCTGGCCATCATCTCATACCCTGCTTTTGCTGTCGAGGACATGAGCATAGTCAACGTGACCAAGGAGGAGATCATCTCTAAACTGCAGGTGCAGAAAGGTTCCAGACCCATCTGAGACAATAAAGTGCTTTTTCAACATCCACTATACAGTCACATATCACATCTCATACTGGAAAAAGAACATTTTTAAACATACTGAAGATACATTTGCCCTTTCTCTGCTCTTTTAGGGTCGATATGGCTGCTGCAGGTTTCTCAGAGACGGACACAAAACACCTAAAGAGGTAAACAACCTGTAAAGCAAGATGCTGCCTCTGCCTGTCTTGTTTTTTCCTATCTGAGTAGATTGGGGATTATATGCTTTAATTTGAGTGTTAATTTGAGATAGCGGGTATTAGGTCATCTTTTTATTTAATTTGCTGTTCTGTGTCCTGTTTATCTCTAAACCCATTACTTCACAATGCGTGTTTATACCCATAAATGTTACACTAGCTCCCTTAACAGATACTTCGATGGTGCTTCACAGTCTTGATGCTGTTGCAGAGCTCCGGAGTGATTGTCCTGAATAAGTAATAACACCTGGACAGCTTTCAGTCATTGTTGTGAATGACTTCAGGGATGTAAATTCAGTCGATACTACAAAAGAATATTATGATCTGCAGAACATTTCCTGGATTTCTGAGAGTTTAGGAAATGTAGATAGAATTTTTTTATGACTCAGTTCATCTCAGAGTGTTTCTAAGTTATTGTTTATACACCATGGTAATCTAGAGCAGGAGATCATCTTTCAAATGGAGAATAAAGGTATAGGCACCTGTGTCAGCAAGCATCCAAACAGTTGTAATGTCCTTGAGAATGACCCTGAATCCCTATCAGTTTCAGAGACCAGATGGTTTCCTGCTGGGATCAGTTCATAGTATTATATACTGCTCTTGCAAACATTTGGGTAATTTGAATAAAGTGCCCTGTGTATCTAATTCTGCCTTTGTGTCTTCTTGTCCAGGATCCAAACAGACTGTATTATGAGTCTGCGGAGCTGAAGCTGTTTGAGAACATTGAATGTGAGTGGCCGCTGTTCTGGACCTACCTCATACTGGATGGCATTTTTATCAACAGCCTTGAACAGGTAATATACACTCGTGTGTTTTGAAGCATCATTCTCTGACAGTAAGTCTACACAGCTCTTATTCTCTGTGGATATTAATCAGTCATATGGTATAATAACTGTAGAAACTCTCTTAATTCATCCAGGTGCAAGAGTATCAGGAGGCCCTGGAGGGCATCTTGATCAAACGCGAAGATGGGATAAGACTGGTGCCAGAGCTTTACAGTGTCCCTGCAGATAAGGTAATGGTGATGGGTAATCCTGTAGAAGCCCCTGAGAACACTGAGTCTTTATGATCTACTGTTGGAGTAGGGTTGGGCACCGAAACCTGGTGCCAATATGCCACCGGTTCCTATACAATTGGTATCCACTGTACCAAATCACAAGGCAGATTTTGGTGCCAATTAAATGCCTGTTAATTGAAATATTTTCCCTCTGGTGCTGTGAAACAGAAGATATAGGCAACAAAAGCATCACTGCATGTGGTGTGCTAACACTGCCATTACATTATTGATACATTACATTACATTACATCGTTATGCTGCATTTCATTCACCTCAGAGGTCAGAAGTCGGAGCTGGGAATGACATCACACTCGAGTTAACTGTGTTCCAGTTTCTGTTAGCCATAATATCAGTTGAGCCATGTTAGCCATTGTTAGCAATACCAGTTTATAACAATGCATTATGTGTTATTTTGCAAATACAAACACTGTAGAAACAGTGGACAGTATTGTGTGTACGACTGTTTTATTGAGACACAAGTGCTAAAAAGAGTATATAACCGCAGCTTCCTACTGCTGATGCGTAGAGCAGCCATCTTGGATTTTGAGATCGGGGTTGGTGAAGTTCGACTTCACCACTTTCCGAGTCAGAAATCCGACTTCAGGGGCCATTCCAGTTGGAACCTGTATATTGTTTGCACTTTCAAACACATACCTGTGTTTCCAGGCCTCATCAACACCATCTGAGAGGGTTTTTTCCTATGCAGGACATGCAATTAGTCGGGTCAGGTGTCATATTTTGTCAGAGAAAGAAAATCTGATGATATTTTTTTTGCAGAATACAAAGTATTCAACACAAATTTTAGTTATTGTAATTTAGCGTTATATTATTATAGTTGTGTTAGGTTTATGTATTCTGTGAATAAGTGTTTTGTATTGATTTATATTTAGATGTTTAATATATTGTTCAATTTGAAGTTCAGATTTGTCTTGGAAATAAAAAGAACATGTTTGTATTGGGGGTTTTGTATTGTTTTTTCAGATTTATACTTTACAATGTGTAACTTCCCCCCCCCCCCGGTTGTTTATGAAAACAGGTGGAGGAGGAGTATATGAACCCTCACTCTGTGGAAAGGATTCCTATGGGCAAATGTCCTCTCAAATGGGGACAGTCTCTGTACATCCTAGGAAACCTTTTAAGTGAGGTGAGCCATCATTTCCATATGTCAAAAAGTAAAACTAGACAGCACACGGCAAACCGCTGTCGAGGCAGCTCAGTTTCCCCATGATGACAATTTTTAAAATATTCATGGATTGGAGTGATGGTCCGGATCACCACCAAAATGTCTTGGATTCAGAATCAGAACATCAGAATACTTGTATTGTCATTGCACAGCTGTGCAATGAAACTCAGTGTATTTCTCCCAGTGACAATAAATAAGCAAACATTAAAACAAACACTGAAAACATAAAAAACATGTATTATACCTCGAAGTACAAGACTCAGTTCACGGCACACTATTCACTCTAGCGTGGTAAAGAGTTCAGTACTTTGATTACACTTGGGTAAAAACCTGCCATCATCCTGGCGCTACGGACCTATATAGACCTATTTCTCCTTCCAGAGGGCAGCAGAGAAAAAAGATGGTTGTCTGGGTGTGATGAGTCCTTGATTATTTTTGTGGCTCTACGTAGACATCTACGTATGAATTCTAGTGAGGGAATCTGTGTGCCAGTGGTATACTGTGCTGACTTGAATGACACTGGAGTGATTTCCTGTCAGCTACAGAGCAATTAGCAAACCACACCAGGATGTCATGGGACAGAACACTCCACAGAGCGGTGGTAGAAGGACAGCAGCAGCTGCTGGGGCTGGTTTGCTTTGTGAAGAGTCCTTAAAAAAAGAGAGACGCTGCTGTGCCTTCTTCACTAGGTGGTGTTAACAGACCATGTGAGACCCTGGGAGATGTATGTACCCATGAATTTGACATCAGTGGCCATCTCCACCATGCCTCCCCCGATGTATAGAGGGACAACTACCCCCCTCTTCTTCCTGAAGTTGATTATGAGCTCTTTGGTTTTGGAGGTGTTTAGTGCTGGGTTGCTGATGAAGCACCATCCAGTTAGTTTGTGGACCTGTAGTCAGACTCGTCATTGTGATTGTTCCGTGGCCCATACCCTACCACCCCAGAAAATTCCATCAAAATCAATTTATATATTTTTTGAGTTATGCTGTGAACAAACCAACAAACTGTGGTAATGACGTAACATTCTTGTCAGGGGTAATTTTGTCTTAATTTCTCTTGTTTATTTGGTCAGTTAGTCACTTTAGTTGATAGATTTGACTTAAACATCTCTTAAAGTAGATATTTGTGGATTTTGGGGACTCTGACTGTTCGAGCTTATTTTTCAGGGTTTTCTAGCCCCCGGAGAGATTGACCCTCTGAACCGGCGTTTCTCCACCATCCCCAAGCCTGATGTGGTCGTACAGGGTGAGGTCTCAGGGAACATGATGTGGCATTAGTGTTAAAACCTCTTGATCAACCACTAGTGAAATATGTCTTTTGGCCACTGGCCACAGCGGTTTGAAGTCCAGTGATTTAGAAGCCATTTTACTCCTAGAAAACGTATGGTGGCTACTCATATTTCATAGTGTGGGTGGAGTTTTTAAATATATGTTCAAACCGTCTCTCTCCTCTGCCAGTGTCAATCCTTGCAGAGACTGAGGAGATTAAAGAGCTGCTGATGAAGAATGGTATCGATGTGGAAACGGTTGCTGACATCCATCCCATCCACGTCCAGCCCTCCAGAGTCCTGAGCCACATCTACGCCAGACTTGGTACAGTTTCAGACAGGGATGTTGTTATATTGCTGCTACTGGGTGAAATTGCCTGTTTTCTCAAAATGCTAAATTACTCATCAGTAATCCACAAGAGAGCATGCGAAACATAAATTTGTGAGGTCAAAAGTTAAACTTTATATGCATTTGGTCAGCTTTTTGTCTCTTTCCTGCTTTGTCTCAGGTCGTAACCCAAGGCTGGGTCTCACTGGGCGGCCCTACAGGAGAATCGGAGTGCTGGGAACCTCAAAGTTCTACATCATCAGGAACGCCATCTTCTCATTCACACCTCAGGTTAATACAAAATCATACCAGTGAATATCCTTCAGATTTCCAGTTGCTGTAAGAATCACAGCCATTAAAACCAGTATCACTACTCGTATTACTGAAGAGTAGTACATAAAAATTTTTATAATTTACTAAAACCAGGCTGATTCCAAATGAGATACAGTAATATCAGGGATAACTAGATTTTTTTTTGTTAGTTTTGTTTATTCACATTCCTTCCGCATAAATTAGGCAACTCCTTTGAAAACATGTTTTCTGAAATGTTCCTGGTATGATTAAAGAAAATAGAAAGTCCTGTTTTCTCATCATCTTTCATCTGTCTCGGCCTGAAACCCTCCAGTTCATCGACCACCAGCAGTTCTACATGGCGTTGGACAACAAAATGATCGTGGAGATGCTGAGGACAGAGATCGCCTACCTCTCATCCAGATGGAGAATGACTGGACGACCCACTGTCACTTTTCCCATTTCACAGTCTATGCTCAGTGAGTATGGACCTGATTGCAGATTTTGTAGTCCACTAATATACAAATTAGCTTGGATACACTTTTGTGAATGTGCTTGTGTGTGTGTGTGTGCGTTTCAGCCGAAGACCACACAAACCTGGACCCCGCAGTCTTAGCAACACTGAGGAAGCTACAGGATGGATATTATGGAGGTGCAAGGTGAATAGGTCTTTTTAATGGAAAGAAAGAGATTTCTAAAATGTATGTAATTTATTTCCAGAAACTTCTTACACAGATTTTTCTCATCTTCCTCACCAGGATTCAGACGGGGAAGCTGTCAGAGTTCTTTACCACTTCCTGTTTTGCTCACCTCAGTTTCCTGGATAAAGGTCCTGGCACCAAGGGCCAGCATGAAGATGCTGATGATGGGAGTAGCGGCGATGGTTACGTGTATGAGTTGCGTCATGATGATGGTAAGAAAAAAAAGACAGATTATGCATTTAGTTATGTTACTTGTTATTGCAGCGTGGCTGACTTTAATTTAGACCTGGTATAAAAATGGCTTTTGTGACAGCTGCCGTCTCTGTGACAGGTTATACATTCACTCAGGCATTTTGACTGTAAACCATTAAGCTTTTGATTAAGTGTACACCTACCGTAGACGACGATGAGTTTGTCTACACACAGTTCTCTGGTTAATCGTCAGACTTCACTTTGGATGGTTTCACATGTTTTTTAACCTTTAAAATAATAAGTCCTAGTGAAATCTACTGCCAGATGTCATTCTCATAGACATAATCTTATGCTTTAACCAAATGTATCTGTGTGTTCAGAGACCACTGGTAGCACATGGAAACATATTTTGGGTGGTTTTGATTCATTGACCCTGTATAAGTAATTCTTCTGCTTAGTCTAAGATACATTAGTAATTTAGACTTCATTTCTGAGGTAATTTACTTTGGTTTTTACTATTTTTAGACAAGTACTTCTCATGATGAGTTAATTATACATGTAGAAAATGGTATTCTGAACTTGAAAATACTTTTTCATGCTGCGATTTTTATTTTTTCACTCTCTATCTCCATGTCTATTCCACCTTAACTGGCTTCTCATTCCTATACTCTCTGTCTCTGCCACTGTCTCTTTGTCCTCTTCCCCAGAGGCTGATGACCTCGCTCAGTACCTGGATCACCTCTTGGCCCACGCTGCTCCCAAGAAGCCCAAACGGCAGGTCATGGCCCTGGGCAGATTCAAGGCTGTGGCCACCAAAACCAAGGAGATGGTGTCTCTTATGAACAAAGCTCAGGACCTCAACATCCAAAGTGAGTGGATCCATCATCTGTGACTGAGACAGCCACAAAATAGGATACCCCAGATACCAGTAGCTTGTTGTGGAGGATGAAGTGGTATAAGTAACTTAACTGACACAAGCCTGCTCTGTTTTGACTAGATATTAACATGTACCTGCCAAACAAGCTGTTTCGCTCTTCTCAGCCATCACTCAACCTCCACCTTCCAGATTCGTCTGCACCACAGCAAACCCAGGTTGATCCTCCTGTTATTTACTCTCCTCCACTTTGTTTTTGTTTGTTCACAGACTACACCATCCACTCTAAGCATCTTTATGCACTACATATGTGTTAAACCAGTGATGTGTTTAAATTCTTAATTTTTGCTGGATCTTGTCATCTGTTTCTCTGTCTCTCTTCCCCAGACCCCAGAGATGGCAGTCGCACAAGACAGCGGCATCCCCAGAGATGCGAGTGGAGCTATTGATTACAGTGCCTTGGCTCAGCTGCTAAAAGACACACAGAATCTCCATGACCAGGCTGACATCCTTTATGTCCTCTTCAAAGACATGTGAGGAACTGTGTTTCATAAATCTGTATTGTAACTGTTGTATCAGAAGTAAACTGTTTCAGATATGTGTAGCATTGGCCAAGAAAGCACAGTTTTTCTGCTCAGCATCAAGTTCAGACTCACACTCTAGTTGTATGGCTGTAGTTCGCACAACAACCACAAGTCTGCACCTTCCCATATTAGCAGCGATAACAGTTTCACTGTTTTCTACAATACCTAATAAATATTTTTTATGTAATTTACATGGCGACAGCTGGTGATGCCACCAACAGTTCAAAGTAGCATATAATAAGATGGCTTATGCTGTACAGTATGAGTGCAGTATATTACAATGAATGGATGGCTTTGTTAAAAAATGGCACCAATAAAAAGTGTTAAATGCTTTTCATAAACAATTTCATTAATGATCCATAGATTGACAAAAGAATCAAAACCTCTCAGAAAGCTGGAATGCTTCAGGCTTTACACTACACCAGCTGTGTGTTATTGTGTGCTTGTCCTCATCACAGGGGAATGGACTGGGACACCCAGCTGCACGGTAAAGGCTCCACAGTCAAATCTCTGCTGACTGACCTTTATGAGAAGGCAGGCGAACTCAAAAACTGGGGCGTGATCCGGATGATCTCTGGCATGTTGAAGAAGAAGGTGGAGGAGCTCGACTCGGTACGACACACACACGTTAACATAGACGAGGTCATCAATAAAACAGGCATTCAGTGATGTAGTGTTAGAAAATGTGGTGATTTGAGTTTGGACGTCAAGAAAACCAACGTATCTTTTACTTTAAAAGTGAATGAAGAACATGTTTTTGAGAGGGGTTAGTCGATTAGTTTAGCACTGGTGTGTGCTGGAGCTCTCCAAGTGCCTTTTAGTGTTTTAAACCAGTGGACCCCTGTGCTCTTATCTGTGTTTCAAACGTGAGTCGCTTGTCTTTTCTTACCACCAGTTGTATTTCTCAGCATTTCCTCTGCTTTTCCTCCGGTACTTTTGAATATGCCTTCATTTTGATTTGTCATTTTTTCAGTTTTTATCAACAGTTAATATCCAGATCTTCCCTCTCTCGTTAAGATCCTTCTCCAGACCTTTTCCCATGTCTCATATTTTACAGAGCTAGTTTCTGATAGGTTGCGATCTTTCCATAGGCCTGCTCCGATTTGCTGGCGCACCAGAAGCACCTGACGGTGGGTCTACCCCCTGAACCCAGAGAGAAAACCATCACTGCTCCGATACCTCCAGACCAGCTGGCTGCTCTCATCGACGAGGCCAGTGGAGACAACATCACCGTGGCCGTACTGACTCAGGTGAATCTGTTTTTCCTTTATTATCATCCATGGATTTGTCATTGTGTCTTTCTCCTTCATCTTTTCTCCTCCCTGTTTCAGGAGCTCATGGTCTACCTGGCTATGAGTATTAGGACACAGCCGAGTCTGTTCAGTGAGATGTTCAGGCTCCGTATCGGTCTCATCATCCAGGTCATGGCCACTGAGCTGGCCCATTCACTCAGCTGTTCAGGTAATGAAGAAAATGTTTATATTTCCAGAGGCAGGGATTTTAAGACCTATCCAGAGCTTGGAATGTTAAAGGGATAATTCGCCCAAAACAAAAGTACACGCATTACCCGCAGTTAGAGCATTATACCAGACCATTATACCAGATGTTTGACATGATATTATTGAAAGATAGGAAGGAATTAAAAAGATGCACCAGTTTTCACACAGGTAAACTGTTTCCACAAAGTTCTTACACACCTGAAAGTCATATAGACCAGCTCAAAGTATGAAAACGACAACAGTTGTGACAGTCAGTGTGAGAGGCTTTGGAATTCATTATGTCCATGAGTGTCTTCACAAATAAGTTGATAATTACAAATGTGTGTGTGTGCAGGAGAGGAGGCGACAGAGAGTCTGATGAGTATGAGTCCATCAGAACTGAAGAACCTTCTCCACCACATCCTCAGCGGGAAGGAGTTTGGAGTACAGCGCAGTGGTCAGTCCACCAGTCAAATCCTCTCTCACACATAATCAAACAAACAACAATCAATCATATCCTTAATTTCCCACTTAGCACATCCCATTCTGTTCTGAAACTTTGCAGTTAGGTGTTCTGAAAAACATAGGTAGCTGTTGTGGCATCACTTTGTAATCATGGTAATCATTTCATAAATCATTGCGCGATAAAGTGCAAGTGTTTTTAAAATTGTCTCCACACTTTACAAGAGTAACATCACCGAGTGCTGCAAACATGATCTTGCACTACGGTGAAAAAGAACACAGCTTTTATTTTTGTGTGATTTCTGTTACCTCTGTCTGAATCTAATTCAAGATATTTATTCCAAATCCTTCATGCAACACATGTTAAATGACTTTTTTAAAAACTAGTACTAGTTTTCTCTGGGAATGTCCACACTGTATACTTGTCATTTTTCTTTGACTACTGTTTTTCTCCTTTCCAGTGCGAGAGACGGATGCCAGTCCTGCCATCTCCATTCATCATCTGGGCAATGTTGGCGCCACCAAGAGCGAGAGAGCTGGCATCAGCAGACTGAAGAGCGAAATGAAGATGGTAGGACCTTGTGCTTGTCAGATTAAAACACACTTTTCTCTTAGAGGTGGAATAAGTCTTAGTTAATCATTATATACAGTAGAGTTCTGTTTTGACCACACCTTTCCATATCATCTTCCACATTACTGTAACAATGTTACTTCATATGTCTTTTTAGGACTCTTAAAAAGTTTTGTATTTCAGCTTAAAAGTTGTTTGTGTTTTTTTAAGTGCTGCAAGAAACCAACACTTAAAGGACTGGGTTTGGAAAAAGCAAACTGTTTATCACCAGACTTTGATAAACTATCAGAGAATTGTTGCTAATTGAAAATCTTGTGCTTTTTGGCAAACTGACTTGTGTCTTTTCGCAGCTGGAACACAGATTGTCTTTGATGGATCCGAGTAAGGTGATGATGGTGCAAACATTGGTGAGATCAGGTGCTAATTCACCTGGCCTTCACTGATGGGTGAAATAATTTGTCGAAGAATTAAACGCTGAGATGCACAGGAGAATTGTGGACATGATAAAGATAATTACAAGAAACTGTGACGCAATCACTTGAGGGGATTGAGATGGCAACTACAGATTTTTGCTTGTGAGAAATGATCCATGGGGTAAAATTAATTAATTGTTGAGTCTGATCTGAGAATCTCCACTTTTAAATAAATCAGCAAAGCAGCTAATTTACTGTGGTTTATTTATTACCTGGTTTTTATGTTGCAGGCGGAGCACAGGTTGTCCTTGACGGATCCATTTAAGGTGATGATCACATGAAGGAACATTAACTACCACAGTATTGTTTCTATATATATATTCTTAATCATTTTTCCAAGTGGAAATGCGGAATATGCTGTATATGTGTTAATTCACCTTCCATGTAAACATCACCAATCAGAATTTGATGGGGGCTTTCAGCTGTATCACGTTGTCTTCGTCATCACATGGACTCTGTTTGTTTGTAATGAAGCTGTAGATACATAACCTTTTATACTGTTCAGAATAAAAGATTTAAATATCTACACTTCATGACATCCGAGCAAACTCCATCATCTGTATGATATGACTGAAAGCTCCAGAACAAGTGAGTTGAGATCATGAAAAAATAATACAGCTCAACTTCATGATCCTACTTGTTTTTGTTTTTGTTTTGATCCAGGAACCAAGGTTGTCATTGACAGATCCAGTTATGGAGGTGATGATGATGTTGAGAGGAGTTAACTCACCTGCATGTGGACTGAAAATTAATTTCTGATTGTACTGGGGTTGAGGTGGATAGAATTAATGCTTTGCGGTGGAAATGGAATATGGTTTTGCTAATGTAAAGGTTAACAATCGGTTGGAAAGAAATAGTGTTTGAATTTTGCGATTCATGGTGTTTCCTTTGTTGCAGATGGACCGCAGGATGTCTTTGCTTGACTCAGTTAAGGTGATGATGATGGAATTCATAAATATGAATCTGGAAGAAAAAGAAAGGGACAATTAGTTGGATGTTTGACTGAGACAAAGTAATACAACTATAACTAGTTGACTTTGATAGAGCTGCTTAAAGTGATGATGGTGGTAATGATGATCATGTTGGTGGAGGTGCTGATGAAAGGAGTTTTAGGAGACTGAAATTCATTTGGATCTAGGTTTAGCAGGGAGTTGAATCAAAGTCTCTGTAATGCAGAGTGGATTTTTGTGTTTTCTTCGTTTCAGCTCGACCCGTCACTGACCTCTCCTCACAAGGTGACAGTGATAATAGCATTAATCTTGATTTTCTGGGTGCTGATTAATCGACAGTCATTCACATGAGCATCAACTAAACGTTATGGAGAATTTAACACTCCGCTACTGTGTGACTGCTAATCTAGCAGGGCCACTCATAGTACATGTGCATTGCAACATATCTACAGTTAATAATTTGTTAATAATTGGTTAATGGTTTGATCAACATAATATCAGAACACAATTACAAAATAAAGTTTTGTCCAACTAACATAGAACCTAAAGATATAATTTAGGACAAAGCAAAGCAACCAGTGTTTTGATGTTAGAATATTCGGCATTTCTGCTTCATGAAAGACTTGGGACCTGGGACTGGTGTACAGTACTTAAGCTCTTTTCTTTTATATAAAATGGAAACTCACCGGTGAGCTCTTTAATTTGCTGTTCTAGGATGACAAACTTTGATTTCACTTTCACTCGTGTGTGGAGAATTTTAATCTTCTGCCTATCTGGGAAACCTGCATAACAATGAATTAATCTATTTATACAATATCTGTTGTTATCTAACCTAATTTTTGTCATTTCCATCTAGATTTCGATTCATGCATGTTGTGATTCAGGCCAGAATCCTCTGGCTCTTGGGTTGTTTTGTCATCACGGTTTGATCCATCACTCAAGTTCTTATTAACTCACTTTGTGGTTTTCATTGCATTTTTTTTTTTCTTCTTCTCTCCTGTTCCTTCTCAGACCATGCGATCTCCATCACTGGAAGTAGAAAACATCGGATTTGCGGTGAAGATTTGTCCTATTAGTTACATTCTTTGTTGCCAATTTTTCTGTGTATGGTTTATCTGCTAAAAGTCAGTAACAGTTCTTCACTGATTATGACAAATCAAACAATTGTCAAGTGACATACTTCTGCTTAGAACCGTGTGTAAAGAGGAATTCTCCAGTGATCACATGAAGGAGTAGTCTATCTGCTGCCTTATGCACATCGTTTTTTTTAAAATCCTTACAGTTTATTTAGCTGTATATTGTTCTGCAAGAACATATTTTTATCACTTAACAAAACAAAAGTTCATTTTATTTCTGTGAAATCTTAAAGCAATAATTGTCATGTGAAATGAGAAGTCCTCTAATATATTTATAATGTATAAGTAGGGATGAAATAATAAAGAATTTGTTGAAATGGAGGGAAAACTGCTGCAGAACATTCTGTTGGTGTCAGATGATGTACATCAGAGAAATCAAATGATAAGGAGAATGTAGTACCACACAAGTACAGTTTGTTTGTTTGATAAGTTGGGAAAAGCAGTGTAACATCTTATCAAATGTCCAAATCTTAATTATACTGCTTTCACTTATGTATTATTAGTAGCAGCAGCAGCAGGCATGCTCAGCTGTTTTTGTAATGCAGTTATCTAGGACCTGGCATGTTTAAGTGAAACATTTGAATAGTTTTTGTTGTTACATTTGTCACTGTGAGTAAAAATGAAGTATTGATAAATATGGGCTTAGATTTGAAAAGCAGTTTGCTGAATTGCTTCATTCCTCAGAATAAGAGAGGTTCACTGATCCTCCAGAATAAATCATCTTTTTGTCTTCCCGCCTGCTTAGAAATACAAACTGCCTTCCATGGAATCTGTGGACATTCCAGAATCCATTCCGAGTGTCACGGATACCAGACACGGCCAGTGGCTGCGCAGGAGACGTCTGGACGGAGCGCTGAACAGAGTCCCTGTCGGATTCTACCGGAAAGTTTGGAAGATCCTGCAGAAGGTCAGTCTCTACACAGAGTTTGTGGAGGAGAAGGCTTGCAGCTTAAATTGCTTTTTCAAATTGAATTTATAGTCCTTATCTTTTGGAATTTTCTACAGCATGAACAAACTCCAGGAATAAAAAGTCACAACAGTGTCAGAAAATCAGATTGGTTGCACAAATAATGTTCTGAATCTGGGGCTGTATGATATTACACGTTTGGTAAACTTAATGACCTTAGCAAAGATATTGTCTTCCAGTGTCATGGCCTGTCCATAGAAGGGTTTGTCCTTCCTTCTTCAACCACCAGAGAGGTAAGAGATCCGGTTGATTATTGTCCATTTATCTGCCTGCTTTGCACTGAAGCAAAATATGTTTTACACATATATATGATGAATTCATGCATTTTTGTGGTTTGTGCTAATCTGATGGTGTCTTGTTTCCTCTTCCTAAAGTTTTGGGCCTCTTCTCGTCATATCTTTAAAAAATCAAACACTGGGTTTGAGGTTTAGTAACATTTTTTCCCACCCAGTATCAAACATTAAGGTTTGTGAAATGAAAGTGAGCAAACCTTTGGAGTAGATATGTCTTTGGAAACATTAGCTAAAGTGAAAATCAGTGTTCTTTACAGAAAGTCATAGTTCAGCAACAAGACATTATAATTAGCTAACTAACATTGTCAGGACACTGGTTTACTGTAGATGGTGGTCACTTAAAAAGACAAACTTTGCCTGTTTTTTTTAAATTATAACCAATATCAGGTTAGTTTCACCACTGCTGCTAGTTACTTAGTTTCAGATACCTTGTGCTTGAATTTAGACAAGTGGTTACACTGTTGATTTTTGAGGTGTTTTGATTCTCCTTTTACCCTCTCTTTTCCCTCCTACCACCCTCTTGCAGATGACCCCAGGAGAAATCAAATTCTCTGTCCACGTGGAGACTGTCTTGAACCGTGTGCCTCAGCCTGAGTACCGACAGCTGCTGGTCGAAGCCATCCTGGTCCTCACCATGCTGGCGGACGTAGAGATCCAGAGTATTGGCTCCATCATCCACGTGGAGAAGATCGTCCATCTCGCCAATGACATGTTCTACAAGGATCAGGTTTGCACCACATTCAAGGGCACAAGTCTTTAAGTCCGATGATTTAGGAGTATGCAGGATTATTTTACTGTCAGCAGTGTTTGTTTGCCAAGTGTGTGCAGAGTCTTAACCCTTATTCCTTCTCCTTCAGATGGACCTGGGAGCAGACGAGGAGATCCTAGAGATGGACCCGTCCACCGGCGTGTGCAGGCTGCTGTATGACAGCGCCCCCAGTGGCCGCTTTGGGAGCATGACTTACCTCACCAAGGCTGTGGCAGTGTACGTGCAAGACTTCCTGCCCAGCGGCTCATGCGCTGTGCAGTGAGGGGACGTGATGAGAATCTAGAGAAGAAGTAAAACCGCTGGTAGAAAATGATAAAGCTCAGTCACACAACATTTTTACATTAAAGTAACCTTGAATTAACTTGTTCTTATATTGTCACTGTGTGCAGTGGGGTATGGCTGAAACAAGTGAGCCTGGATGTTACACTAGGTTTGCATTCTCACTTTCAGCTCCCCCAGGTAATGTCTTGAGAATCTCAGAGTTCCAGTGCATGTCTGAAAAGGGCTTATGAGACTGGTATTGATCTTCTCATCTAACTCTCAACAAGAAAGTGAGTGTGTGTATTTAAATGTTGAACTTGTCACATAAATAGGTTTTATCACTGCGAGTGTGAGATGGTACAGAAACTATTAAAACTGTTGCCCACAAGTAAATTTGTAGGTTATAGCTGTGGAATAGCTGTCTGATCAAACTTTAACATCCTCAGTGTTTCACCCCTTGTTTGGGGACTATCTTCAGCTGCGGATTAATGCACATTTGGTGCACCGGGAAGGTGTATGTGGGATTGAGTCAAAATACACTACAGCGCATGTGTTCATCTACATGTCACACAGTGCAACAGTGTGGCTCATTGATGAGTTTTGATCATTTGTGGAAATCAGTCGATCTCTATGGCCCACAAAAATAAGATACATCAGGCTTTGCTTACGCACACAATAACTGCACTTTAAGGATCAATTCATTGTTGCTTTTGCTATTTTGTGAGATTCATGGACAATAACAAAAATATAATGGTGCGTATCCTCTTAAGTCAAAGATTCTTTTCTGTCCTCAACACATTAGTCAGTGTCAATTGTAATGTAACATTTAGAATGTATTAATTAAACCAGTGGAATTGAATGTTTTCACCCTGACACTCAAATGGTTTAGTTTTCCTACAACTGAGTGACCACTGACATGAACTTTCAACTCAGTTTACACACAGCTGTTAAACCAAATTAACTTTAGAGACTGAAAAACAAGCATTTTCTCATGTGTATGCTGTATAATGTATAAAATAATGATGCAAATTACATAATCTGTATTTTAAGAGCTAAAATAGATGTATCTTAAAGAGGACACAGGTTATTTTGAATGCCTTAACATTGTTACACTTCTAATAATATGACTGGATATGTGCGAGTGAAGCTATAGGAATGTTTTATTTTTAACTATGCAAAACTAGCCTTAGAAATTGTGCAGTAATAAAAGGTACCTCATTTTCAACATTAACACATTGTTCAGTATGTAGTTACTTAGTAGTGAATGCATTGCAGTGATTTCTAAGTCACCATATTATGTGCAGTTTAGATTTTTGCCCTCTAAAAGGGGAAATGCCTTAATTTACTGCTGTAATAGAGAACTGTAATTTTGGTTATTTTAGTATAATTACAGTAACAGTCAGCTGTTTACTCACATCTGCTGTTTTACATTGGTTTAGATGCATTTCACCGTCAGCAGTTAGATGTACAAGTGTTTGACTTATTCACTGAGTAGTGCATTCGGAGATAAGGAGAATAAATTGAAGGTAACTCAACAGCAGTTGGTGTTAAAGGTGTGTTGCTTCTTGCTTAAATACACAACAACCAGCTACTGTTACTGTGTCATATCCACCACACTCCACATGAACTACAAACGACACAGAGTCAGAGTTTAAAAAAGATTTTCATGTTACTTCATAACAGCATCCACTGAACAGAACAGTTGTTGAGCTTTTGATATTTATCTAAAAACCTGATAGCTTTTTTTTTTTCTGGAGCTTTCAGCTCTTCTCGCTGGCTCTCCGTTTTCCAGACCTTTTAGCCGAAGAACACAATATTCAGTTTTCATGGAACCGGATCTGTTGCCATACAAGTTGAGAAGCTGTTATGATTTCTTGATCTTGCAGGCTTAAAGAAGGCTGGTTGAAAGCTCCAGAAAAAAACTAGTAAATTATCAGATATTTGTTGGATGTTATCATGCACTAACGTGCCAATCTGTGTTAATAAATACTTGTCATAATCCCTCATTTATTTGTTCTTTGAAATGTTGACAATATCTGTTCTTTTAATTGTGGAAACTAGTTGTTTTGAATGTGTTAACTCTACAGAGCTCTAAATATATGTATAATATATGAAGTGGAGCATTGAACTTTGACTAAAGTATCCAGCAGATGGCGCTACATCTATACAGACTGATTAGAGTGTCATAACTTCAAGGCTTCAGGTCAGGGCCTTTTGTAACATTGTCAACATCTTATCTGGTGTATGAAGTGATTTTAAAACAATAAAATATAGTGGATGTCTTCACGGCACAGTTAGTGACAGATATGCTTTGTGGTATTTTGTTGCCTTGCTTTTTGTGTTGTTGGGATTAGTTCCAAAAACACTGTGGTGCCAGATTTTGTGCCAGTTTGCACCAGTTATTCAGCATAAATGTTTTTTTTTTTTTAATGGTATTTTATCCCAGCAACATTTTTATTTTTAAGATATAAATGTGATGATGAAGCAGCATGTAATGAAGGTCCCCATCTGGACTCAAACCAGTGACATTATACTTGTTCCAAAAAGCCACATTTGAAGGTGGGATGTGTTGTGTGAGGAATGAAAAAAGAACTTGAGAAGTTCAGATCCCACCTACTTTTACATCTTCACACACCTGGCTTATTGCTGTATAAATCAAATATAAAGGACAGATACTAAAGTACTCACGAGGAGTTATATCACTTCAGTTCTAACTTGTTCTTTATCATCAAAATTTCAACAGCCTAACATAAAAATCTGTTGTTGCCTGGTGTTTTTGTTGTTTTTGTTTAAGGCCAGTGAAGTGTCAATGAAACACAGTGACACTGAAAATTATCAGCTGGTTAACATTCCAGCACAAAGAGCAGCTGAATGCAGGGAATGTGTTTTTGTTTTGTTTTGAAGTGATATGACATCTTGATTCAGAAAGTCACTGTGGGTGACACTTATTTTTATTCTCAAGAGACTTTCAAGTTTTACTGTTAAAGTCAAAATCCCAAATTCCCAGAAATAACACTGCGAACATGGCCTCAGATAAAACAATCCCAATCCTTAGGGCTAGTCACAGGTAAAGGTCATGGTCATGTTAGGTGTTAAAGTGAAGCAATGGGGAAGAAAAATATCTACAGGGAACCAGAATGCACTTCCCTCACACTCCTGAGTCTTGGGATCTTACTCTACCCAAAATCAGACATCAACAGTCCAGTCACCATCCACCGACAGCCTTCCTGCCTGTCTCTGGTGCAGTCTGCCTCTGTGGTCTTCAGTCCCCTAAATATTATCACCGTTAATTCACTTAGGCTGCACTTTCACACAGAGTGAAATGTGGCCAGTACAGCGTGTATGATGAAGAAGAACACTGTGTGCCAGATGACTCCTGCTCAGACAATGTTTGATGGCTGGTTCCAGAAGCTTTTTTCCTATTCTGTATCCCTGTTTCAATATATATATATATGTGTGTATGTATACGTTAACAATACATCTGAATTAAACAACACATCAAAGGGTTTTCTGATCTGATATTCATGTTAACTGGATAACATTGCCGTTTCCTTATCTTACCCCACTGAGGTAAAGATTTGGTTAGATTTAGGCACAAAAAAAACATAGGTAGGATACAAAGGATAGTGGTTTGCGTTTACTACTTTCTTGAGGTCTTGGGACCTTGTCATGGTTACATAAATAACCAGAAGGTTAAGGGTCGGGAACAACTTAGCAGTAGTTTCAGACTGAGTGTGTATAATGCAACTCCCTGCTGTGTTTTTCTGCATGGGGGCTGCGTTGGCTGGGAAGGGGGGCAAAGGGTTACAGGGGAGTGATGTAGGTGTGAATGATGCAGCTATAACCCGACTGATCTGGTAAAAAGGTTACTCCCTGCTGTGTTTTAATGCAAGGGGCTGCATTGGTCAGGGGGATGAGCAGTTGTTACAATATGGCCACTTTGTGATGAGTCAGCATGAGTGGCTTCATTCACATTTCCAGCCACTGAGTTTCCTTGGTGATGTGGTTAGCCATAGTGCTAATGTAACCAGTTTCCTTGGTGATGTGGTTAGCCATACTGCTAATGTAGTGTCCTCTACCTTAGTACCAATTTCTACCACCTATGTAAACAACGATAAATAAAAGACACTAACTAATGACACTGTCATTATGGTGCATTAACTGTGGCCCAAATTTGAGAGTGAATAACAGTGAATGCTCATGCTAACAAGGTGTATGGACACACATGCAGAGCAGTCACTGGCGACTGGTCTTCACACCTCAAGCATTAGCCTTACACTGTATGTAAACACACAATTGACTGTGTGTGAGAGAGGAGCAGCCCCTCCCTCCTCTAAACATAGACTGACAGAGAGAAAATACACTTGCAAACAAAGCAGAACAGTCCGTTTCAACCACAGGGGCTATGCTTGGTGATGGTTAAGGAAAGTACAGGGTGTACCACTTGTTAATAGTGGAAATGCAAGAATAGACTATATAAAGATGGTCAGACTCAGGACTGACTGACATATTTGGACTCAGGGCAAATGTTTGATAGTGTAGACACATGCACAGATACTCACATTTAGGGATATTAAACACACAGGAAACACAGAGATCCAAACACATTTCCAATGACTTTGCACATTCTCTTACAAAGTTGGAAAATCCTCATGCTTCTGGAATCTGCATGATTTTCAGCCTTGTTTCAGTTTGTTCCCCTCTCTCACTTGGCTCATCTCTGTCGTTGTGAAAGAATGAATGTCTGAACACCAGCAGCTGTGTGACTTTTGAACACTGACAGTAGATTCGGTCACATGAAAGATGTAAAATTCTGAAGGCTGGTGAGTCACAGTGTGTGATGAGTCAGAGAGTTATCCAGGTTCTGCAGCATACGTGCTCTGAAATTCTCCCCCTGCAGATGTTATACATCAGTTGCAGGAGTTTTACATTAGTCCAGCCAAGCAGCATTAATCAGTGTGGCATTCGCAGAGCATGTGAACATCCAGGAGGAATCTGCTGAGCAAGCTGCTGAGCATATTTACTGTATACAAGCCTTGTTTCCAGGCAGCTTTTGTGCAAAGGTTCCCAACTTGTGCAGTTTATTAGTTCCATTTATACAGTATATTTTCTTTTTTGAAGGCAATCAAGAAAAGAAAGGTCAGGAATAACACTTTTGTATATTTGAGGATGAAGAACCTTTATTATACAGGGTCCAACACTGAGTTTCTGTACACAGCTTCAAATCTCAGCTCGACTCTGCAACAGTCCAGCAGTTTTGGTTTATTTTCTTGAATGTTTGAGGTTTAGAATTATTTGTTTTGTTCGTTTTTATTGGAATTTAATTCTCATTTAAATTATTTAAAATCTTGCTATTCTGTTCCTCTCTGCCAGGTAACAGGTAGGAGGATAAGTGAGGGATGATGGTAACTTAAGGGAACTTAGCCCCTTTTTTAAGTTACAAATAACACACCAGCCTAATAATAAGACCAAACTGCCATTTTGTTGTCACTCTGTATTATTTTGAACATGTTGAATCACTGAGAAATCAGCTGCTGCACAGATATGTGAGCATTCACTCAGCAAGGATGTAGCATAATGTAGGAATCTTGCAGTGGTGATAATGTGATTTAACATAAGTTATTCTAAAATTTAAATTAGAAGTCAGTCACAATCACAGAAATTCTTTTTTAAATGCTTTTATTCCAGTTTCTTTCCAGCCCTCTACATGTAAGTAACACAGTACATACAGTACACAGTACAAAGATAATTTAGTTTAAAAGTGCAGTTGTACTCAAACATGGCGAGTTTTCAGAATATCAGCAATCTGAAAACGTATTGATTAGAAGATATAAGTCGGTTAGGACCCTATTTCAGGTACATTTGCCACTGGTTACAGATTTAAAATGGTCTCAGAATGTATGTAATGAAAAGTTCTCAGTGGAAAAGTAAAAAAAAAAAAAAAATCCAGTCAGGCTGATTGATTATTCTAAGTCAAGCCATAACACGTCATAAAAAACATTTTAAAATACTAAATAAAATATCAAAGATACTAAATATGTTGAGGCAAAGGGATACATTTTGACATTTAAACAAAGGATAAAATAAATACAGGATCAGAGAATCACTGCATTACACAAAATAAATATGCATGCATTACTAATGATTGTGATGTTTTGCCATTTATTCAAAATTATGCGGTTGTTGTTCAATAATTCTGTACTTGACCGAAGAATTTGTGCCCTTATTAGAATTTAAAAAAAAAAACTAATAACAAACCCTGAAGATGTTAAAATGTTGTGGATGCTTGAGCATTGCTTTGGCATTTTGTAACCACTGTTCTTTTTCTTTGTCTCATCTGTTAGATTTTCCATTTTTGCAAAAACGCTAGTATATTGTGAACATGTGTCTTTGTATTATTCTTGACTTTCCTGCTGGATACCATTAACTGGCTGTTAAAATACGTCTTTTGAATTCTTCGCTTTAAGATTACAAAATGTTCTAACAGCACCCCGTGCTATATCTAACTGACATTATTGTAACAAATTACACCAAGTGATTGGTCTTAATCATGTGTGTTCCCAGTTAGCACATCATCAGTGTAATGATAGGATTTTCTAAGCACACAGCCAAGAACTAATAGACTATCACGACAAAAATGTTAAGGTCAGGAGCTTATAAAAGGCACATAGTCTTCCCTGTGCTTTACACCGCTCGCTGCAGCTCACCCCACCATTGTCTGTTACAGAAGGAATACAACAGATAAGGAATCTTATTAAAAAACCTTCATGAGGTCACTCGACATCAGTCATGAAGAAGATGGATCAGAGAATGGATTTATACTGTATGTCTGGTGGTGTTTTTTTTAGCATAAAAAGAGTTAAATGTTCAGTGTTTTGTAAAAGACATCATATGATATCAGTGAAACAATGCAGTGTCATGTTATCAAGCTATGCTGACGTCATATTAATTGCTCAATTCCGCAGTGACTGGTGGAACGAAGCCTCTGAGATTAAAATGTTTTACTCTTGGTTTCATTTTGAATCACCTTTGAGTTTTGGCCTGAAAGATTTTGGTCCACAGTAATAGACATAGCATACTCTTGTTGAAACCCCAGGGAATGGGTTTCAGATTATCGCATCATATTTATGGAAAATGTCAAGTATGAAAGGCTAAATGACTTTTTTAACATTTTTGGATTTTACCATCTGCCACCTCTGTATTCTTTTAAGTTATAATTCTCATTTTTGACTTATAAATGCATAAGGTGCTACTGTGATGTAAATTCATATTAACATTTACTATATAAATATAAAATCTGATTTAAAAAGGCCT